CCTAAAAAAAATAGATACTGCAGAGTCCAAGTACAGTACACTTAGGTAAATATGAGAAGAACCTTCCAGACACCAATGTCACAAACACAGATTGTCTTTCTGCAGAAAAAAAAAACAACTAAATTTGAAGGTTAACCTGTGATTGCGGCGTGAGTCCTGCGAGGCCTGTGGAGACGGTGACCACACACGTCTGACAATTAACACTTGATTAATTGATTTGTGAATTGACGACACACGATGACAGTCGGTCGCTGTAGGGCAGCAGTGGACCGAAGCTCGCCTAGCAACTGCATCTCACAATGATACGACTGGTTCTTTATGACAACCAACAGATTAATAACATGGTTTTTAAAAGAATTGTACCTCCATCTGCCATATCAGCACATCTGGTTTACCCTGGGGCAAATGCAAAACATGCTCCATTATCACAGCAACCTTGAACATTAGTATAAAAACCCATAAAATAACCCTTATAAGTAATGGCATCTTATGAGGAACAAGATAAACCTAACATTACAATGTCAAAATATAACCAAAAATAACTGCCTTTTTGACAACCCAGTGCTCACACTGCATTTTAACACTGCTGTACTGTGGCATTAATCAACAAGATGCCAACAGCATGTTTAGAAATGAGGGCCACATCGTGTAGATTCTCCTGTCACTCTAAATATTTGTCCCCACTGCTGCGCCCTTAAGCAAGGCAATAAATCTCCATCAGCTCGGTACAAGTTGTGTTATTTATCTGACGTTGTGCCAGGGAATATAGAGTGCAAAAATAATGCACTTAAGAAAAATAAACATGATTATTATAATATACAAGCCAACAGGAAATGACCAACAAACAGAGAAGAAAACAGAAAACCAGAGAGTAAGACGGCTCCTCCGTGTGTGTGTACCAGTTCATCTTCATTTACTGTAGCTCTGACCACCATAGTTAGATAAGAGACCTTGGCACCAGCTGGCATTTGCTGCAGTGAGCTCCGTTTAGACTCCTTTTAGAGGAATATGATTGAGCTTTTCAGATCGTATTTCAAGTGCACCGCACTGCAGTCGGAGTCTCCACGAGCATTTCACTATAATGACACCAGGGCTGATTTGAAAGTCCAGCCGTTGTGGAGAGACTAAAACAGCCCAGACATTACACTGAAACTGCTTTCTTAATGAAATGTAGTAACAGCTAGAGCTAATTACATGTCTTATGTTTAGCTCTCATCTCTTCCACTGTCAGTCCATTCTACTTTCGAGTCGTAAAATGTAAACACAAAATGCTCTGGCTTTTGCTGTTGTTTGTAAAAAAATAAAAACATTAACTGGATAATTTTTAAAAATGTGACGTACTACTTCAAAAAAAGAAATAAGAAATAAATTGAGTAATTGTTACAATAATTTTGGAAAATCACATGCCTATGTCGGCAGACAGCTGGTGAGGTGCCTTCCTCCAGTTGTCAGTTTGGTTTTATGGAACGATCAGAAAAAAAAAAGAAAGGGATGTTCAACAGTGCAGCAGGAGCGGCATTAAAATTCAGGCTGCCACAGAACTGCAATAACAGTCACACGACGAAACACTCGGATTGGGCTTTTTAAGGACAAAGTGATCGCCCAGGCTGATTTTTCTACATGACAGTTGTGATAAAATAGTTAGATTCCATCTCTCTTGGGGAAAAAAAAAATCCTGTCCTTTTCACCTGTCTTATTTGACATTATCATTCAGACAAGGCTGCCTTTTTCACTGTGTTATTTGTGTCTCCTCCTTTCTCTTAAGTGAAGGAGAAAACACAACCTCTCAGGTCACATAGTTTTTCATATCAGGAGCAGACGCTGCTGCGGCGGCTGTGACACCGTGCTGCATTCATAATAAATCCACTGAAAAACAAAAAAAAAAACATTTTTTCTAAGGTTCCAAGCCAAGACATATTTCTCCAGTGCGGCGTGTTGTCACGCGTCTTGGCCTTTTTTTTGACGGTATAATATATTAAAGACCAACAGCTTTAGAGGCACTGGAGGACAACAGAGAAGAGAACATCGCTGATTTGCTGAGGGGTTAAAAGGAAGTGAACCTGCATAATGTTTCCTGGGAGTTTACGAATAATGTCTATTGACTTGGGTCGTGAAGTTCTGTGATTTAAAATATGGGTCCCCAGAAAAAAAAGTTTGGGAAACATTGATCTACAGGTTATAATGCTGTGGAGAGGAAAATCAAAGAATGGAAACCATCGTCTGTTTTCCATCTAAAGTCTTTAATACAGTGAAAAAGGAAAATAAAAATCACACTTGCAAAGCAGCAGCAATTAGTACGATCAGTTTCCTCAGTGATGACGGTGTCATTATCATCATGGAAGATGTCAGTGTGGCGGCGGTGGTTGGGCGACGGAGTGATTTTCACGCCCATTTAAGAAATGTTCGAGGGCATCATTGAATTTCAGATAGAAGAATGTGCTGCATTTTTTGACAATGCCTATGTGTAAACCAGGGATTAGTGCAATGCGAAAAAAGAGTCACTGTTACTCAGACTCACAGACGCCTCTTGTAATCCACTCTTATTATATTAGCATTTCTATTTTGCTTGGCGACAAAGCTTTTTTGTGAAACACCATTCTTGTGTTTAGTGCGGAGGACTATAAATGGGAGGATGAAGGAGGATTTTTGCAGCGTTAATCCAGGATGAGCTCTTATAAATATTAGTACGTATGACTCTTACTGTTTCCAGAAGTACAGATAAGCACGTTTACAGAACCTTCTGTCCTGGTGTGAAGAAACAACTCCATCCCGGCAGCATCACATTTCAGCTTAAAAGCAGGCAGATCAATAGACGACTGTGACATACATCATTGATAACCACACTGGACACGGATAAATGGCACTTTATGTTGGAGTCGTCAGTGATTAATTATTACTGAGGACGTGTACTTTCTCGCTGAGCTCAGTGGAGGTGTTTTTGATACAGAAATATTGAAAGATGAAAAATAAAGCACAGGTATAGCCACAGTGGTTGACTGAAGACCTTAAGGCGAGCATGAATATAGTCTGAGTCAATAATTTATACAGCCAGATACACATTCAGAGAGTAAGGGAGAGAAGGAGCAGTGAAACACAAGAGTAAAACAGCTTCGGGGACAGAAACATAGTCTGAGACTAACGACTGGAAACTATACATATGTCGCCAGATGTTAGAGTCTATTTTACTCTCCTCTGTAAGAGGAACAGTGGCGTTATCAAAGACGTCTGACTCAGGGGTATTCCTGTACTGTTTTTCTTTTCCTGATGTCAGCAGGTAGTAGGGATTCTTTTTCTATTTTCTTTTTTGTTTTTTTTTTTGGTGAACCGTCACACGCTCTCTTCACACTGTCTGACACGTCTCCTCAAGCTTACATAATGCAGATCTGCCCTAATTTTCCTCTCCACATAAAAATCCACGCTCTTGCAGAAGCTCAACCTTAAAGCACTGTCAATCAGAATGAAGGGTCAGGCTCGTGGGCGAGATGTCTGGTCAAAAGAAATGACACTACATCCCCGCTGTTATGAGCCATGCAGATGCATTTTGAGCTTTAGGCATTATATGCATGTAGTATAGAGTGAATATATACATGATCATATATGCAGTGTGTCAAATAGGCTGAGTTACGGATTGGATTACTCTATGTACTGCGTATACTACGATTGTTTCTGTGTCAGGTAATTGGATGTTTCCATGGATACGGGTTCTCCTGAAAGCTATGTCTGCTAAGAATATGTTTCCTCTCTAAGTGTCTGGCACGCACTGGCATATGTTTGCAGTTGTTATATCAGAGTTTTGAGGTTATTCTGAACCATCTTATGTTTTTTTTTAAATTTCTTTTTAAGTTTTAAACACATCATGAAATGTTATTTTTTTCTGCTGCTTTTGAGAGTAAAATTGCAAAATTAGCTTGTTTTGTTACGTACATCCCACTGTGTTCTGCTGCTGTTTGTGCAGCTGTTTGAACTCCGTGGACGTCAGATGATTTACAAAACACAGGAACATCTCTCAGCTGCCCCCACCAGGGGTCAGGACTGGGAACTGTACGCCTTTGTGTTAACCTTTCCCTTGATTCCTCTTTAACAAGTCCATGAATGATCTCTGTACTTTTGAAAGAAATACATGGAAACAGTGTCTTTTTGTTGTCAAGTTGAAAGGACAGATCAAGATATAATTTATAAAAAAAATAAGAAAATGCCAGGAAAAGCTAACTCATGTTAGCAGCACAAGGCTAACATTATTGAGCATGCTATGTGGCTATGGTAACTGAAAGAAACAAAATGACTAGTTCAATTACACAGATATTTTTCAATTATTTTACAGTTCAGTCCTTTCTATACATTCTTATCTTTAACGTTGACCCTTTTCAAACATGCCATTCTAAATCGTCGTCACTATCTCACTACGTCTGTTAAAACAGCATCTCCAACACCCACTCTGTTTTAATACGTTCTGTAAAATTGTGCTGTGCAGCATTTCTCTATGACTGGTTTAAAGCCGTCAGTGTGTCTGTCTTTTTTTTTTATAAAACTAGAGAATGGCAGTAAGGGAAAGGTGCGAGCTGATTGGCTATGAGCAGGAAACACCTCAAGGCAGTGACGGGGTGTTAAGGTAAATCAGAAATGACTTTTTTTGGTTCAAAGAAAACTTAAACTATCATACTTTTTGACTTAAAAAACAAAACATTTATAGTATACCATAAAGGCCCTAAAACTGAAGTAAAAATACAACAATTATCAGACATTTATCATATTATTAATATCTTTGCATATTATAGACAAGGTGAGTGAGCGTTTATGACAAGCAATATATCCACTAATATGTAAAAGAAAAAAATGTATACATACATACATATATGTATATATGTTACATATATACATATACACATATATACACATATATATATCTTCAAACTACATCTCCAACTGTGCCATCTAGTCAGTTCTTTCATACCAGCAATTAGCAAACTCAAACTGCATCTTCAACTGTGCCATCTAGTAAGTTCTTTCATACCAGCAATTAGCAAACTATAAATATAAATATCAGCATCTTAAAAGAACACTCAACTATCTTTAACTTGAAAGCCGCCGTCTCGCTTCCAACTTCAATAACCATTATTTCCTCGGCTCTTGCTGCCGTCTTTCTGTCACACGTCGTCCTGACGCTCGTCTCAACCCTCGTCTCAACCCTCCCCACCCTGCGCCTCTGCCCTCTTCATCACCTCTTCTCTGCTTGTTTGTTCTGCACGTGTGCACTTTGGGATGCTTGATCCAATGTTTTTAAGACTCACCCCCTTCAACAACACATCCACTCCTTCCCTCGCCCTCGTTCACAGACAACTACTGTGATTGGACACTAAATGAGATGACCATTTGTCTAAATATCTTTGGTGGATATGGCACCAAACAGAGGTATTTCTAGGACAACTATGTCATATTCTCGCCTTTTCCATAGTTTAATGAGGGGCCCCTCTAGCCTGAACCCGGGTCAGCAGACCGATTTGCCCCCCCCCCAACCCTACTGGCAGGCCTGATTGTATATTTTAGCCATGTTTTTTCGATTTCAATCAGAGATAATGGAAAGCCTGAAACTGGCTGCAGCCCGAACATCACACTTTTGTTTTGTAATTTGAGTAATGTTTAAAAATAACATATTCTATTTGTCCTCCATCTGCAACGTGACATACACTGCACCACAACAAAAGGTCGAACTGCACAAAGAAGCGAGATTATAATCAAATGAATGCATATCTTTTATTCATCAGCTAACCAGCAACTAAAGTAAACAGCACACTGGAGACATATTTGAGCACATATTCCTAGATGGACCGTGTTACTGCAAAAAGAGGCAAGTTTATGCTTTTTGAAAACCTGATTACGTACTGGCAGAGAATATTCAATGAGATTTCAAAAGAAAAAAAAGAAAGCACAGTTTCATTATTAAAATCAGTGACAAAAGCAATTACAAAACAAAGTAGATATTTCACAATTAAAAATTACTTTTGTATTCCCCTACACCTGTCAAAAATGCTAAAATATACAGAAAAAAACAACAATATTATAAATGCCTATATACACAGTAAATACAGTCTTCATTCCACCACTAACTTTTAAAAGATTCATACATAAAATAAAATAAAATGTTTAATTCATACTTTCTCTGAATAATTTCGTCCCACAGTGACCTAATATTTGCTGGGCTGCGTTAGTTTGCCTGCACAAAAGTTCACCAGATATGAGAAGAAAAGTTTAATTTTAACTGGCACCAAGCTAAATGCCAGAAAGTCTATACAATGAAAACATTTCATGTGCATCCATCTGTGCATGTTGGCAGGTTTACAGTGTTTTTAACACCTATTCATTACACAGCAACATATTGATACAAAACAAATCCCACACTCGCCGCGTTTCTGACGTAGAAACGCATGCAGGTTCACATCATGCATCACTGTGTATATTTCATTTCCTCTATTTAAAGAGCAGAAACGGGTCAAGTGAAATAATAATTAGGAGTCGAGTCTAAAGAGCGAAAGGCAACGAAACAAGACGGCGTCCTTATTAAACGCCGTGACTAATGCTTCGGTGGTAATGCGTGGATCCTGACACAGCATTTTCCTCTAATTAGTTAAACGAAGATGACAGGTTTGCTTCAAAATACCACGAATGATTTGAACTCACTCCGTGTGTGTGTGTGTGTGTGTGTGTTAAACGATTAGTTTAATTTCACATGTCGCGTTCCTACGTTTAGGCTACTGACCCGGAAAATGGTAAAATTACATTATGTCTGGATGTTGTGCTTCCTTCCGGTGAGAGCATAGCAACAGTTTCATGCATAAATATGATTAGTCATTCAGGTCATGCTTTCGTTTATTGTGCTTGTTTTAAAGTCATGGCTAAGGCCCTCGCACTCCATTAAAATGTGACCATTAATCCCTATTTAAGACTACGGAAATGGAGACAAAGCCAAATTGCTCGATTAAAGTTGACGTCCTTTCAAAAAACAAACAAAAAAAAAAGATAAGACAAACTATGCCGTGTAATAATTGTCAATTTTAAATACCGTATGATCCAATTTAATCAGTTTTTTTGCCATGACAACACGTGAAATTAGAACCATGTAAGAAGATTTAACAAGCAATGTGTTGTGGGCATTTGGAACAGATTGTCAATATGTAATCCTCATCTATGCAGAGTGCAACAGTTTTGCACACTTTTTTTATGTCGTGTGTATGCACTCATCCAACCTACTACTATGGCTATATGCACAGGTTAACATGTGGTGCATTTCACAATGTGACATCAAGATTGACCAGTAAAAGTCAATAGTGCATCTTCTTGCTTAAAGGAAAAGGGAACCATCTGTATAAAAAATATCCAGTCTTTTACACTGTGTGTGTGTGTGTGTGTGTGTAGCTGAGGCCTAAATAAACGGAAAAATTATTTTGCACATATTCAAAATTATGATGTAAAAACTCAGGAAAAGTTGGTTTTCTAAAATGCAAAAGAAAAAAATAAAAGAAGTTTTTTTAGTTTAAATTACATTAGAATCTAGACTTGACTTATGTTTCCCTACGGGCTATACAGAGAGGCCATTCAGGCTGCGTTCTGTGAGGTTACTGAATCAGATCAGAGTTAACTGCATACAGGTTGGGTCATCAAGGTCGGGTCTAAAAACAGCGTCCATCAACGGCTCAATCAAATGTGCTGATCTTTACCAAATGACTGCACATTTCCCCCTTCAAAACTTCCAAATAAATCATAAAACATGTATCAGTGCTAACTCTGTCAAATGAAGGTATCAATTTCCAAATATTCAGTTTATTTTTTTTGGCAAAACATTGTTTCCTTGTCCTTTTGAAGAATATCTAGTTAAAAAAGTCTGTCGTATTCAGACGATCTAGTCCTAATGTCCACTCAAAGCACTTTGCACTAAAGCTTTTACCATCTAATCAGGGGGTGGCATATAAACTACTAGGTCTGAAATCAAACCCACACACACTCCAGGTGAAATGCACCACCGCCTGATGAGCTGCGGCCGCCGCATGGCCTTGAAATGAAGGTTCGTGGCCATTACCAGATTAAAGATTTCAATTTTTAATGCATTTTTTTCCAACCATCTCTCCTGAAAACCGGGTTCGCATTCGACTTTCGTGGTATTGTAGATCCACTCAGGCATACTGCAACGGGGAGTTAATGGTAGATGTTTTCAGACATCATAAAGAGCGGAGGTTGTGAGGGTGCCATATAACACGGGCCTGTGTTTTAATGTACCCGTGTTCTTTATCTTCTTTGGTGTTTTACGGCGGTTGCCATCCGTAATGTTGCATTACTGCATTCTCCCTCGGTTTTTAATGTGCCATTAGAGTTGCATATTTTATCGTCTGTTTTCTGAAGGGCTTTGGTAGTGGCACAAATGAAGACACTCATTACTGTTCATTAATACGAACATTAACATCAAGTGTGGTTTTTAACCATATACTGTATGCTCATGGAAAAGAGTTTTCTAATGCAGCTGCCCGGGGTTAAACCTTTGTTTTTTTCCCGTTTAATAACACGTCTTATATTATTGTTATTGTTAATATCATTCTTATTTTTTAGATACAACATTTCTGAGTACTGTGACATCACAGCTAATGAAGACAACAGAGTGCAACATGTGTCCATAATACAAAGTGCAGCAGGCGAAGAGATGGGGAGGATTCTGGGAAACACCACAGATTTACACAGATACCCTGTTGTATATGCAGCAGACTGGATTTATGGGCCTCATAGACTTTGATTTGAGGTGTAACATTATAACTTGTTTTATGATATCTGGGTCTCACCCAGAGAGGTGCGCTCTGGCTGAATAAATGTGTATATAAAATCTTCCATATTCCATGAGAGCACGGTACTGTATTTCCCCAGCGATGTAAAGGCAACGTGAGCATTTGTCTCAACCTTTTGCTTAGTTCACAGATCAGTTTACTGGCAGGATATTAATTATTAAATCAAATGTATTAGTTAATGTAAAGCAGAAAAAAAAATGCTGATTTTTATTTTCTTCTTTCAGAAACGCTGGTAGATTTGTTGGGACATTTGCTAAAACTGCAAAAAGAAACTAAAAAGTTTACAGTTTGGTTCTTCACTTTCATACTACAGTCAAAGAAAAGAGTTGTTGTCTTCATAATAATTCAAAATATTTAGGAGAGCAAGGCTATAGATTCTACACAAAATTTGAGGTAAACTAAACTGATGTAAACTGGGGCCAACTGTTTAAATCCAAAGTGATCCTGTCCATGTGACGTCTTCTCTGTGAACAGAGAGCGAGAATTGAGAAAAGACAGAGAAACACCGTGTGGTGGATGTGACTCATTACCAACTGTGACTGATGGTAGAATTGTCTACGGTTGTTCACATCAGTGAAGGTACGTGTTACTGACGTCAAGATTCTGCTGAATGTCACCTATTACGTCAATTATATTCTATATTTTCCTCCATCTCCTAAGAATAGAACATGGCCTGGCAGTGTCACAGCTCTTGCCTGGACCTGTATGGGGCTACGAGTTAGAGCAAACTGTCAATACGGTTCAAATTTCCAGTAGGTTTCCAATTTTCATGTTAACTGGTAACAGGTTTATGTGTCAAGATTGGATATTAGAGGATTGGAGGAGCATCAACGCAAGACTGGGTGTTGATCAAGCTGAAGTCTGTCCAACATCTTAAGATAAAATGATGTAAAAAGATTAAAAGAACAGGAACTTCTGCTGAATGTGCTGAACAAACTAAAATATTTTTTTGTCTCAGTGATTAAATAACCTAAACCTGGTGAATATTACAGCCTCAGATGTATGTATGAAAAATGTGCTCGCGTTTCGGACGTCACTCCTGTGGTGGACGATGCTCACAAATGTTCACTGCCGCTCACGTACAGTAATCAAAGTGAGAAGATATCATGGCAGTCATGAACAACCTGCTCCAGCTCTCTTAGAACTGTGTATATGTGGTTCTTTTTTCCAGAACCTCAAGATAATCTGGATCAATGTGAAGCTTTGCTTTAAGTTCCCAGTACTCACTCCCGCTGGGCTTCACGTATACAGTACTCGGTGCTGTGCAATAGAACACAGTCTGTTGTATTCTCTCCGGCTGCATGTACTGATGCCTTGCATCACAGTCTGAGGTAAACTGACTTGATGACTGCGCTGTATGCCTGCATGGTAGTGTACTGCTGTAGCGTCCAGGCTTGTCTGGCTCAAGTACGTCTCTGTAGCAATATTGATCATCCCGGTGCGGGGTGGAGGGCTTGTTTAGAGGCTCGGGAGTGGGGGCACTGTACTCTGAGCTTATTACATTACTGACTGCCTCTTCATCTGAGTTGCCCAGAAAAGTGCAGCTCAGCTCGTCAAAGTCTCGAAATCCCTCCACGGATTTGCTGTCCATCGGGGTGTGGGCAGCGGTTCTGCATGTGGATTCTGTGGGCGGTGGCACATATTCGTACACGTGGCCCGCAGATGTTCTCACTTTGGGAATGGTGCCTTTTTTGTACAGGCCGTACTCCATGTTGAGAGAGCTGATGCAGGCGTTCATGGAGTTATTCTGCTCATTTAAACGCTTTTGATGTCTCTTCTTCACTGCCACAAACATCCCGGCAGCCACGAGCACAGACACAATGAACATGAGGAGAAGGGCAAGAATCATCACAGATAAAGGAATGGCACTGTGTTCTGTGTCCGAGTCCAGGGATGTTTCTATGGTGACAGTGCTGCCGGGGAAAGATTCTTCAGAGGGTGGGATCACGGAGGCAACAATCTCAGACTTATTAGGGCAGAAATTAGAGGTCCTAATGTATCTTATATCCTCTCCGGCCAGCCTCTTGGGCGAGCCACATATGACATTGTTTATCACCGTGCCCGTGCTCAGCTGCTCCAGCCACGTCTTTAAGTCGAGTATGACGCAAGAGCAATCCCACGGATTCTCAAACAAGTCGACCTGCACCAGCGCCGTGAGCTGATCGAGAACACCGCTGACAGGCAGGTAGCGCAGGTGGTTATTGCGGAGATTGAGTCTGGTCAACGTAAGGCCTTTAAATGTCCCCGCAGGTAATGTTTTCAAGAGGTTATTGTTCAGGAAGAGGAGCTGAAGTTTGGGAACGTGCTGAAAGGCATCGGCTGCAATGTCCTTAATGACATTGTATTCTAAATATAAAAACAGGAGGCTTTCCAGTCCATAAAACATATCAGTTGTAAGGTGGTCGATTAAATTCCCATTAAGGTACAGTCTTCTCAGATGTGTCAAATCGCCAAACGCTTGGTCCTGAATGCGAGCGATTCGATTGTTACCAAGATGAAGCAAATCTAATCCAGTCGCCTCGAAAAAATCGGATCGACGTACAACTGGGATGTAATTTCCCGTGAGATACATCTTCTTGGGATTGTAGGGTTTGGGATTTAGATCAGATATATGCTCAATTTTTCTTTCCTGGCAATTCACATTCAGGCCCAGGTCTGATATCTGAAGATTGCAAGTGCAGGCAGTCGGGCAGTCTAAAGGCACGGGGGATTTTGTCTGATAGGAAATAATTTGGCCATAATTCTGCGGCTTATTAGATGGAACGCGAGCCGTGGGTCTGGATTTTAATTTTCCTGACTGTCGAGGTGCTTTGGTGGGTCTTGATGACGACCGGGCAATCCCAGATGAAGTGAAGGATGTTGTAACCAGAGCTGACGTGGTCCTGTAGTACGCATCACTGCTCATATGTGGCAGCGATGGCATCTCATATTCAGCGATAGCTCTCCTCGGGCACAACTCCTGCTTTGAAACCTCATCGAGGTCTCTCCCGTGGAGACGAAAAGGGAACTCGCAAACGACATCTCCCACCAGAGAGGTGTACGATATGCTCTCGAGCCAGGTCTTGAGAGCTATGAGCTCACAAGAGCAGTTCCAGGGATTCTCCTCCAGCTGTAGCTCCACCACACCGTTCATGTGCTCCAGCAGACCTGAATAAGGAAGTACTTTGAGCTGATTGCCCCTTAAGTCCAAGTGAGTCAACGGTACATGCTGGAAAACATTTATGGGCAGCGATGATATTAAGTTGTCATTTAGAATCAGGACTTCCAGATGTCGAAGCCTGCTGAAGGCGTTTGCTGCTACGTGAGTGATATAGTTGTAATCAATTTGCAGATACTCTAGGCTCTCAAGGCCGAAGAAAAACTCTTCCTTCAAGGCATCTATTTTGTTATTATTAAGATGTAATCGTTTTAATCCCTGTAGTCCGTTAAAAGCTCCTGCTTCGACTTCAGATATGTCATTATTTCCCAGGTGAAGAATGGTGAGTCCTTTGTAATCAACGAAATCATCTGTGGACAGCTTTTTCACCTGATTCCCAGTGAGCAGCAGATGGTAGTGGGAAACGTGCACAGGCTTTACGTCTGAAAGTCTTAGTATTCCTCTGTTTTCACACAGGACTGTAAGAATGCCCTCCCGCTCCTCGCAGGCACACAGTCTTTGACATGTTTCTCCATAAGCGCCCAACATCTCAGCAGAGCAAAGTGATGCTGTACTTAGCAAAACACAGGAAATCCAAAGATGCATTTTCCTGCAACCCATGTCCAGAGCCCACAGAGTCCTGCTACGGTTTCCTCAATGTCATCTACAAAACAGAACACACACAGATACACACACACTGTGATGTGAAACAAGCAGAGGCTGCAAAGAAAACTACTTCCACACGAGCAGAGCTGCAGCCTGCATGAGTCAAGGCTTCGTTTGCCATTACACCCAGAGGTAACTTCTGGATGTGTGGCTGCTGATCAAAAAATTGGCTCAAACAAAACAAGACAGTGAGCAACTCCTTCAAGCTATGGAACAACATAAAAAAGCAAGGTCAAAGCAACGCATGGAAGCACAACACAACGATCTAAAACGGCTGAGAGGGAGGACCCTGTCTCATGCATTTACATGTACAGAAATGTAAAGCAAAAAGTACGGTTTGAATTAACAGCCGAGTGGTTTCAAATTTGCCAGACGGTTCTCGGGATGTCAAAGAAGCCACGGAATAAGTCTTCAACTCTTTGCAGAAATACATACCTGGAGCGCACTGACGAAGATGCAGACTCCCCGTTTTTTCTCAGCACATCTTTTTGCATTTAATCAAAGCAAAACGGAAAACAGGATCTATTTAAGGCGAGCGCTGTTTAGTCGACTGTCACGAATCACCGGAGAGGATGAATTAAGGGCTGATCAAGATTAAATGCTGTTTCTTCACAGAGCTGCTGCGCCGGAGGAGACGCAGCTATGGCAATGGAAACAAAGTTGCTTATCCTCCGTACCACCTCCTCCGCCTCCTCCTCCTCCTCCTCTCTCTATCTCTATCTCTCTCTCTCGGTGGTCGAGAAAAGGATGTCAAGTCATTTCATGCTCAAAGAGCCAGCTCACTGGAGCGTCATCAAACCGAGATAGTGTACATTCTCCCAAAAGACGTTGACCCATCTACAAGGGAATAAGAATGTCCCGACAAACATTCATTATTCACTGGTCTCGGTGCGTCTTTTTACGCAACCCGTCGGCAAACAAACAATTCACCGTAAGTTTCATCACGTTTTTATAAATTCCACCATTCCGATTAGAGTCAACGATGTAAAGAGAGAGGTGTTTCCCTTCATCGCAGTCAAACCATTTGTTCTTCTCCGGTGTTTCCCTGCCGCGCTTCTTATTACACCAGCACTGGCGTAGGAAGAAAAAAGAAGAAAAGCAGCCTGAGGTGTCCAGTGAGTGAGATGAGTGGTCGTATTTGAACCAAACTGCCAAACAACTGTACGAAGTTCATTCATTAAACATATCAAGAGTATTTTTCTACCTACTATACATACTACATAATACTAACATCTAAAAACATTTCATCATTTTTTTTCTATGGAGGAATCGAACTGATGTCTTTCCAACATGTAGGACTGAAATAGTCAGGAATCGTAGTACTTTTAAATACTTTTGAAATCCTATGGATCTATCGTAGTACTTTTAAATACTTTTGAAAAATAAATGACATGAAGCTATATAGACTTGTTTCAAAGCTTCAGTCGTCAGTTGTAATGGTTATTTGAAAAGAATATTTGCTTTGATATTAATTGTTTTTCCTCATGAGAGTTAAAAACCTGTTAAGATTCAGAAGAAAGATTTCATAACCAAAGAAGTATTTTGATGCAAATTCTCTGTTTATTTTTGTAAGTGCATAAAAGTGTTGCCAATCAATAAACATGAACTTTGAGGAAACTCTGTTAAAACCTTCAGCTTTGAACCACTGTTCTTTTGATGAATGCTTTAATACTCGTTCTTTATTAAAGTGTTTATATATATATATAATGTGGATAAGAACAAAGTGTGATTAGCATCTTGATAGTCCAAATGAAGCCTGGCCGTGATTCAACTTAATGACACTCAATAACATTAGACCCTGGCGACATTCCCAGGTAATTAGTCAGCTGTCAATCACACACAGTAGCCACTCGTACAGATCGTTAGCATTTGTAATGCAGAAAATGTGGTAATTTGTCAATTATGACAAAAATGTAACATTTTATGGAAGCATAAATAAAATGTTGACTGTTGTTAAATAAATGAAAAAGACAAAGGCTCATCTTCCATATATCGATATGAATTCCAAGTTACAGCTGAAAGCAGCACAGTCCCTCACGTGTTTTTCTAAGGATTCTCTGAGGGCCACAGATGACTCTGTCCATTTCTGTCTAATCTGCCTCAGGTCGCCACAGAAATACACAGCACAGAACCCAGAGGGCGGCACTCTCTCCTCTCAGTATACAATAATATGTTAATAAGTCCACTTTCACTGCTCAAGGTGGGAATTAAAAATTAATAGAACTATTTCTTTCCTAAATATACAAAGTTCTAGGGTGTCTGTAAAGAAAATGGTTTCCAGTCAGGGAGGAAAATGAAAACACTTATTTTAGTTTTTCAGCACCAAAGCAGCTGAACAGCTCCTGCAAGAGGAACAAGCCTCTTTCCAAGTGTTATTTTAGGCGAAGTACCACATCTGGCCAGCAGGATCTCTCTCCCTCTCTCCTGCCCACACCCCAAGTAAAACGTTCATCTATTTTAATCCTGTTTGTTTTTGGTCCAGCAGGATTATTTCAGTAAAAACATCATCACCATATTGCAGGTTTGACATCAGAGCCTCATACCCAGCTGCTAGGCACTTAAAAAAAAAGAAAGAAATTAGTTTTTTCTTTAAAAAAAAAAAATCTGTCAAGTGCTTGACTTTAACTTTGCTCTCTAAAGCTGTTGCTGGCAGTCGCGGGATGCCAGATTCAGTTCTGTGTAGTTAAATGTTTCGTCGAGTCCCAGTCAGTAATTGAAACCCCTTTAAGGAATTGTCACAGTGATTCCATTTCATCTCAGTGAAAGCACCAGCCTGTGCAGTACTGCATTAATAATCATGTCATCCATTCCATAATGCCGTGCATGAGCATACTGCGACTTGATAGGATGCGAATTGATCCAACTCATTATCCCCAAGAGACTGGGAATGCTGGTAAAAGTGTGTAAACCCTCCCTGCTGCTACACTGTAAACACTCACTGCTCATCCTGTTTCATCTGTTTCTGATCAAAAAAGAAACAGGCCAAAATACAGACGAATGTGAAGAAGAGTCAGATTCTTCATGTCCGTCCCAACCTGTTGTGCTCGGTGTCATTCATGTGGAAAGACATCAAGTGTAATTGTAAACTGTTGTGTTCTGCTGGAGCCACATATCCATCATCCTCCTCCTTTGGCTGCTGCACACAAGCGTGACACATCAGGGACATTGCCTGTGACTCACATTAAAGAGAATTAATGCATCATTCGGCCTACATACATTATTTCATCTTTGCCTCCGTCTCCTCTGGCTTCAGAGACGTCTGCTGCACATTGTGCTGCACCTTTGGCAGATTTTAAACCCTTATGGTTCCTTTGGTTCTCTTCATACGTTAGCTTCTACGTTCATATCAACCTAAAGGTGATTTGCGGTGACACATGGAGGATTCTCATTTTTCTGAAACATCATTGCAGGCCGTGTGTACTTTCATTATGTCTAAGTCGCTCATATGTTCTGGTTCATGTTTGCTCATGGTGATGATGTGCAGTGGGAACGCCAGGCACACAGGCGATGCATGATACGAGCCACATTTAGTGTCTCTCCCAGTCTTCCATGACACTGAACATAATCTTCACCAACTGGGAGCTGTTGGGAGCGGCACTATTTCCACACACACACACACACACACGTGCAAACACATGTAGAGGGAAGAAATAAGAACAACAAATGACTGGAAGAAAATAATGACTTACAATAATGTGCTCCAAGGTCAAACATACACAAATAGAGTTAGAGATTTGCCAGCGGGGATAACCCCCCACATATATGCATATATATGTGTGGGGGGTGGGGGGGGGTACAGCACACAGATGGTACAGCACACATTGTCAGTTTGTATGTCCAGCTGGAAATCACCAGAACATTATCCAACTTTGTGAGTGTTCTGTTTTACAACATCATTAGCGTCAAGGCTATTAGTGGCAAAAAAAGACGTAACACGTATCTATAAAATAAAAAATTACCAGCACAAAATATTGTGAAATTGAATATATTACTTGCAAAAAGCAAGGAAAGTTCTATAAAAATAATAATTGACAATAAAAGTAAAATTAAAGTCAGCAACCAATGACTGCTTCACAGTTTGACTCTATTACAAAGCAGCAATGTTATTTAAAAAAAAAAACACTTTAGCTTTCAGTTTCACAAGCTTTGAGGTGTTTTGGTGTTTTATTAATAAAAAATGAAACACTTCAGTATTTTTCCTTATTATTATCTAACCACATTACCTCCTAATCCTTTACATTCATAGCACTTAAGTATTTTGATTGTATTACACTGGGACTGAACAGAGGTAGATGAGACAATAGAGTTATAGGGTGGGAGTAG